CGGTGGGAGGGCGTGGGGGTTGCGGTGGGAGGGCGTGCGGGTTGCGGTGGGAGGGCGTGCGGGTTGCGGTGGGAGGGCGTGCGGGTTGCGGTGGGAGGGCGTGCGGGTTGCGGTGGGAGGGCGTGCGGGTTGCGGTGGGAGGGCGTGCGGGTTGCGGTGGGAGGGCGTGCGGGTTGCGGTGGGAGGGCGTGCGGGTTGCGGTGGGAGGGCGTGCGGGTTGCGGTGGGAGGGCGTGCGGGTTGCGGTGGGAGGGCGTGCGGGTTGCGGTGGGAGGGCGTGCGGGTTGCGGTGGGAGGGCGTGCGGGTTGCGGTGGGAGGGCGTGCGGGTTGCGGTGGGAGGGCGTGCGGGTTGCGGTGGGAGGGCGTGCGGGTTGCGGTGGGAGGGCGTGCGGGTTGCGGTGGGAGGGCGTGCGGGTTGCGGTGGGAGGGCGTGCGGGTTGCGGTGGGAGGGGGTCTATGGCCGGGTAGTGTAGGTCGAGAGGCGCCAGGGTCTGCAACATGGGTCCCGCTATTAAGACCTCCTCGCGCATCGCTGGGCCTGCTCCCTCCCGCTCCACCCAGCAGCATGACCCTCCCTTCTGTGTACGAGGTCCCACATCTGCAACCACCTCCGCAACCACCTCCTCCCCTCCCCTCTCTTCCCCCCAAATGACCCCTACCAGTGAAGGAGAAGTAGGGGAGCGGCACCGGGATGGGGATGTTGACGCCCACCATGCCCACATCCACCTCGCTCTGGAACTTGCGGGCGGTGGCGCCGTGGCTGGTGAACACGGCGGTGCCGTTGCCGTGCGGGTTGGCGTTGACCAGGTCCAGCGCCGCCTCCAGCGAGTCCACCTCCAAGCAGACCAGGACGGGGCCGAAGATCTCCTCCCGATAGCACTCCATGTCCGGGGTCACGCCCGTCAGCAACGTGGGCCCCAGCCAGTTGCCGCGCGGATGGGCCGGCACCTGCACGCCGCGCCCGTCCACCAGCACGCGCGCGCCCGCCGCCTCGCCCGAGGCGACGAGGCGCTCCGCGCGCGCGCGCGCGGCGGGCGTGATGAGCGGCCCCACGTCCACGCCCGCCTCCCAGCCCGCGCCGACGCGCAGGCCGCGCGCCTTGGCCTCCAGCGCCGGGGCGTAGCGCTCCAGCGTCCCGCGCCCGACGAAGACGGCGGCGGAGATGGCCATGCAGCGCTGCCCCGCGGCGCCAAAGGCCGCGCCCGTCAGCGCCGCCACCGTGGCCTCGAAGTTGGCGTCGGGCATGACCACCGCATGGTTCTTGGCCCCCATGTTGGCCTGCACGCGCTTGCCGGCGCCGCAGCCGCGCGCGTACACGTGCTCCCCGCCCGCGTCGGAGCCGACAAAGGCCACCGCCTTGATGTCGGGGTGGTCCAGGATGGCGTTCACCGTGCCGTGGGCACCGTGCACCACATTCAGCACGCCCTTGGGGAGGCCTGATGGCATTTGAGGAGGGTATATGGGGGGGGAGTGTGTGGATCGTGATGAAGAGTGGTTGGGAGACAGGGGAGGGGGTCCACCAGGGCATCGCGAGGTGAGGAGTGATACATGATGGTCATGACGACTCGACATCTAGGCCTGGTGTGGTGGGTGCTGTGGAGAGCCACGGAGGCACGCTAAGCATGGCAAGCCTGCACCTCAAGGGAGGAAGGAAGTCCGCCGGCCGTTCACCTCAAGCCCACCTCCCTACAGCCCCATGTGCGCAGCGGTGCAGGTGCTCATCACCCACAGAAACCCCAGAGACTGCCCTCTCAAGTGCCCTGGCATGACTCAACAATCACTCACCAGCCTGCTGCGCCAGGTCAGCGAGCATCATGGCGGCGCCCGGGTCCTTCTCTGAGGGCTTCAGGACCATGGTGTTGCCTGGGGCGACGAGGGATCTTGAATGTTGGTGACAGGATGTCACGCAACTGCTGCTGGGTGAGAGTGCCAGAGACCAGGGGCCGGCATGCATCGGGGCGGGAGCAGTGCGTCGCATGCCAAGCTCCAGCGAACGGACTCTGCCGCGTATGCTCTCCCTCTACAACCGCATGCATTCCATGGCACGCACCTGTTGCGAGTGCCATGGGGAACATCCACAGCGGGATCATGGCCGGGAAGTTGAAGGGACAGATGCCTGCAGTCACCTGGGCGGCGGGGAAATAGAGATTCCTGGATGGGACGGTGGGCAGTGCCGCAGCCGATTCTGCCACAACTGGCCCCCTTGCATGTCACGTCACACAAGACATGGTATCCTTGGCCAGCAGGGAACACTCAAGTCCGGTGCATCGGGCAGCCTCTCCCCTTTGGACCAAGTCCAGGGCCGCATGCAGCAGCCCCTCAGCCCCCTCTCCCCCCGCCTAGCCCCTCCTCACCCCCAGCGGCTGGCGGATGCTGTAGGTGTCGATGCCGGTGGACACGTTCTCCAGCATCTCTCCCATCATGTCGGGGCCGATGCCGGCGGCGTACTCGACCACCTCCAGGCCGCGGAAGACGTCCCCCCGCGCGTCGGCCAGCGTCTTGCCTTGTTCGCGCGTCACGCTGGCGGCCAGCTCCTCCATGTTCTCCCGGATCAGTTGCTGCAGCTTGAGGAACACGCGCGCGCGCGTCGGCACGGCGGTGGCGCGCCAAGCGGGGAAGGCCGCCTTGGCCGCGTCTACCGCCGCCTGGAACTCGGCCGGGGTGGTCTCCGGCACGCGGGACACGACCTCCTGCGTGGCCTGCAGGGAGGGAATTAGGGGGTGGAATGTGTCAGCGCGGTGCGGGGGATCCGGGGCGAATGCAAGGGAAGTTTCTTAGCGGTCTGCCACAATAGTCCCCCCCAACCCCCCCCAACTATGCCCAACAGACGCGTCCGCACCGGGCAGACGACGTCCTGCCATGTGTCGGTCTTGCTGGACACAAACTCTCCTCCGATCAGCAGCTTGACGTCCGGCTGGGGGGTGTGGGGAGAGGTTATTGTGCAACAGTCGCACGATGGGCAGGTCAGTCCACGTCATCCCCAAGGAGGGTTAAGGGCCCGCGGCACCATTATCTCACCGCTCCCGACATGGCACGGATGGATTGACCGGACAGGAAGGATGCACCGAGGCATCGCTGGGCCACGCGGCCCGTGAGGGCTTGCATCGCGGCAGGTGTGCTGGGGTTTGCAGTCGGTGTCTGCGTGCAGGAGGAGCGCACCCAGCTCTTTGCGCGGCAGGGCGATCACTATACCTCGATAGATAAATTCTTAGACTGTCATTTAATGAGGATGAGTAGGCATCGCTGAAAAATGCACTGGGCTGGGGCGCGGTCCTTCCACGTCGGTCATTCTTCCGGCCCCGGAACACGATCTCAGCCTGACGGAGTCCCAAGGGCGCGAAGTGTATGGCAGATTCCAGGACGAAGTAGGCTGGCTCCCCTTCCATCCCCAAACACACTTCCAATTTGAAGCAAAGTTTTGGTCGTTTGGCCAGGCATATCCGTGGGTTGACTGCGCCCCTCGGGATCCACGATGGAGAAGCTCCAGTCCGTGGACTGGAGGGGTCTGTACAAGACGGCCACCAACAAGGTCAAAAAGTACACCATGAACCTGTCGGAGCTGGAGCTGCAGGTGGAGGATGCCACCAGCCTGGAGGTGAGGGGTGGGTCCACGGCGAGGTGAGCAAGGGGTAAGAGGGCATGGCTCACAGGTGTCCACCAACCTCCCCCAACGCCTCCCGGCATAGGTCTGGGGCCCCCATGGCTCTGTGATGACAGAGATTGCCGAGTCCTCCTTCGATCCAGAGAGCTACCGTCAGATCATGGGGGTGATCGCCAGGAGGCTCAAGGAGGAGGTGAGTGTGCGGGGGGTGTAGGCCAGCCAGCGGGGCCTCGAGGGGGTTGCATGCCTGTCCTGAAGCCTGGTGTACCCTAGCCTCGGGCAGCAAGCTGCCTGCATGCCCGCCATGCTGGGTCGTGGCCCTGCAGCCATGTTGTTACCCAGGGTCGTGAGACCCGTGTCACCCTCAAGGGCCCCCTTTCCTCACCTCTCAGAGGTGCTGCACCCCCCCCCGTTACACATAGCCCCCTAACCCCCACCCCCTCCTGTACAGGGTGAGAACTGGCGCATGTGCTACAAAGCCCTGCTCCTTCTGGAGTTCCTGATCAAGCACGGCCCCACCCAGGTGGTACGCGACGTGGAGTCCAGCGGCGGCGTGCTGGATCGCCTGACCCGCTTCCAGTTCAAGGACCCCAATGGCAAGGACCACGGGCAGAACGTGCGGCACCGCGCGGGGGAGATCGTGGCGCTGGTGGCCGACCCGCCGCGCCTGGCCGCGGAGCGGGAGAAGGCGCGGGCCAACCGCACCAAGTACACCGGCGTGTCGGCCGCCGACATGCGGCGCGGCGCCACCGCCTTTGGCGGCGGCGGCGGGTCGTCCGGCGGCGGCGACGCATACGGCAGCTCCGGCGGCGCGTCAACCGCGCGGCCCAACCTGGCGGCCAGCGTGTCCAGCTGGGCGCCCAGCGTGCAGCCCAGCGGCGGCTGGCACCAGAGCGTGCGCGGCAGCGTGCTGGCGGGCGACAGCTTCACACTGGGGGAGGGCGAGGCGCAGGGCGCCTCGCTGTCCCCGGGCCTGTCGACCAGCTTCTCGGGCGGCGCGGGCGTGGGCGCGGGCGCGGGCCTGGACGACGGCTCGCACTACATCTCGCGGCGCCGGGACGGCGCCGGCGCCGGCGGCGCGGAGGACGCCGTCGCCGCCACGCGCGCCCGCATCGAGTCGCTGCGGGCCTCGCGCGGCGCGGCGGCCGCGGCCGCGGCGCGCTCGACCGGCCTTGGCGCCGGCGCGGAGGAGGGCAAGCGCCGCCTGCTGGCCGACACGCGGGTCGACCCCCGGATCGCGGCCTCGCTGGGCCTCAAGCTGGCCGCCGCCCAGCCAGCGGCCCGGGCCCCGGCGCTGGCCGGCGAGGCCGACGGCCGGCCGGGGCCCGAGAGTGGCGGGGCGACGCGCCAGCACGCCTCCAGCGACGACGCGGTGTCCCTGCCGGGCCCCGGCCTCGACCTGCTGGGGGACCTGGTGGGGGAGGACGCCCCGGCCCCCATGCCCCAGCCGGCCGCAGACCCCTTCGACCCCTTTGCGCCGGCGGGGCTTGCGGACGAGGACGCCGGCCCGCCCCGGGACGCATGGGACGCCTTCGCCCCTGGCCCCACGCCCCCAGGCCCCACCCCACTGGCGGCTGCGTCGAACGCCCGCGCCCCGCTCCCCGAGGACGCCTTCTCCTCCCTGTCGCTGGGCAGCCCCGGCGCCGGGCCGCCGGCCCTCGGTGCTGTGCCGTCGGGCCTGGGTGCCCTGCCGCCCGTCGCCCCTCTCGTCCCGACCCAGAAACCTGCGCCCCAGGCGGCCTCCAGCTTCGGGAGCATGCTCAGTGCGGGGGGCTACGGGCTGTCCACCCCCGACACCCGCTCCTCCAAGCCCGACCCCTTTGCCGACCTGCTGGGCTGAGGTGTCGTGTCTGGGCCCTTACCTTTTGGTCACGCGCACAGGCTTGTCAGTTTGCGTGAAGGGACGGAGGATCAGGCAGGCATGGGTGATGGGCAGGTGGGAGGGCTGTGCATCCCAGTCGATACGATCCAGGGGGGCAGGGGCGAGGGCACCGCCCGCGCCTGCCGCGCAGGCGCACTACGGCGTCACGCCCGGCCCGGGGCCGAGCGGCGCGGCGCAAACAGGCGCACCCCGCGCGGCACGCAGGCCAGCAGCGCGACCTGCGCGCCGCCCTTCTCCCGGGGCTGGTCGCCGCCCCACGCGGCGAGCGGCCCGAGCTCGCCCCCCACCGCGCCTCTGCTCAGCGTGGCCCCCGTGCGGCAGCAGTGCAGGCTGAGCGCGGCGGAGCCGGCGCTGCTGGCCGTCAGCAAGTCGGTCCCCGGCAGGAAGCAGGGCTGGTAGATTCCGGGCAGGCGGCGCCGGCCCGCGCCCTCGTCCAGGCAGTGCACCGGCTCCCGCGGGGCGCGCAGGTCATGGATCAGCAGCTCCGGCGCCTGGGACGTGGAGGCCAGCAGGCGGCCCTCCCGGCCCGGGTGCCAGCGCACCGATGCGACGCCGGCCGGGGACCTGGCATCCAGGGTCAGCGCGGGGCTGACGCGCGGGTCTTCCCGCGCATCGACGCACACCACCCGACCGTCGTCGCCGCCGGTGGCGAACAGCGCGGGCGCGGCGTCGCCCGGCGGCGCCCAGCGCACGGACTTCACCACGCGGCCGGCGTGGGGCGCGGCGTAGCGCTGCAGCGCCGTCAGCGCGCCGGCGGGGTGCAGGGCGCAGACCGCCACGCTGCCGTCCTTGGCGCCGGTGAGGCAGGCGGACGCGGCGGCGTGCAGCGAGAACACCCCCGCCCCGGAGTGGAGGTCGGGTGGGGCGGCGGCCAGGCGCCGCGGCGACGCGCTTTGGACCTCGCTCCCACGCTCCCACCCTCCCGCCTGGGTCTGGCCCAGGTCCCAGAGGCACACCGCGCCGTCGTTTCCAGCGCTGACGAGCCAGGGGACGGAAGCAGCGTGCATGTCCCTCCCGGGGGGGTCCCAGAACTGGACGTCCGCCACCCAGCCGCGGTGCAGCGACGCCTGGAGGAGGGCAGGGACGGCCTCGACCCGGCAGGCGTCCCTGGAGCGCAGGCCCCAGAGGGCAACAACGCCGCCCTTTCCACCCGCAACCACCAGCCCGGGCCGGCAGTCGATGCTGTGGTGGGAGGGTGCGCGGATGTGTGCAGTGGGAAGGTAGGATGAGTGTGATCGGTGGACCTCACGCCACCCCGGCTCCCTGGCATGGTGTCATGCTCGATCTGGAAGCTGCTTCGCACAGCAGCAGCTGCCCTGCTTGGATCGGGTCATCGCATTCTGACCTCCTTTGCACAGCCGCGTGGGGCCCGGCCGGCAGATCCAACCAAGCGGTCAGCTCGCCCGACACATGCGTCCCTACAACACACCCGCCTGTTTCCTGCAACCCATGCCCACCTGTAGGCTCGGGCCAGGGTGCGCGCCTCCAAGAAGCAGGGCAGGTCGGAGAACCCCGTGGCGTCCACGAAGCTGTCGGCCCACGGACCCTCACGCTGCGCCCCGCCACCAGCAGGCGGCGCGGACGCGGAGGCCTCCTGGCAGGTTTCGGCCACCAGGTAGTGCCGCAGGGCCGAGTCCTCCCAGACGGGGGCGGGCTCCTCAGCAGGTTCAAGCCACCCCCCTACACTGTTGCCGGCCTGTGCCTGTGCGTCATCCTGGGCTGATGGACCCCCCGCCAGCATCTGGACGCGGGAGGATCTCCTACGCGGCTCTGTGGGTGCCTCCAGGGCCACCTTCCTCCGCTTTGGCTGTGGCTGGCGCTGTGGGCGCTGTGGCTCGGCCTGGGCCAAGCCCAGCTCCCTGAACTTGGCCTCACGTGCCAGGATCCTCTGGGAGGGGAATGCGGTGCAGATGGTCAACAGGGTGCTGCACTCCATGCCCCACCGGCAGCGACCCGTAGGCCCACTCTGTCACGACCACCCTACCCACGATCATTCATTCATCAGCGCAATCTAACCTACACACTCTCAAGTACTCACCGCCATCCGCTCCTCTTCATATGTGGGCTGGCGCAGGCCGTCAGACTTGCTTGAGGCTGCCTCTGGCGGGCCGGTCGCATGTAAGGCAGACTCTGGGGCGCAGGGCTCTCCGCGGGTGGCCTGATGTTGGACATGATGTCGTGAGTGTGTCAACTCCATGGCGGCATCGGGGCCAGTCCGGATGTCCTCGAGGGGCGGGAGACCCACAGGGAGCGCGGCTTCATATGGCGACATTGACAATGCGCATATTGAGGCACAAACCGGTGGTAATTCCCCCTTCCGCTCTGCCTCTGGCTCTGCACGCTGGGGATCGACTCGCGAGGCAACACCTTCCTGGCTGCCCGCGAAGAACGAAGTGATTGTGCGCTGCATGGTCGCCGAGACCCGCGGCGTACAGTGAACGTCTTACATCCTGAGCACACTTCCGCACTGTTCAGGCATGTCATCGTCCTTGGGTTGTGAACAGCACCGTCGACGGGCAGCAAGCAGAGGTGCATCTGGCACTTTACGGCTTGAATTCCGCGGAAGTGGAAAGAATGTCGCTGGTCCAAGAGCGCTCGATCGTCCTCGAAGCTCCGGTTCCACTACATGGACTGCAACTCTGTCGGCACAGCCACTCTCGAGATGCTTGGCACGCCTTCTTCGTCACCTTGAGCATCGGTCTGGTGGTCTACGCGGCAGGGCCCCGTCCCCTTGCGAACCCCACTCGCACCCGGAGGACTGCATGGACTCTCGACGGGACAGCATGTCCTCATTCGAGCATGTCGAACTTGCCCAGGCGGCTGAGACCTCCCACGATGACACGCCCATCGCGGGCAACCCGGCGTTCAACGCGCCCGCGCGCGCCACATCCCTCCCCCCACCCGTACCCAGTGCGAGGGTGAGCCCGGGGCCCGGCTCGGGGTTCCCACCCGCCCCGCGCTCCCCTGGCCAGGACCCCCTGAAAGAGATCGAGGAGGTGGCGGAGCGCGTCATGGGGACGGCGGTGCACGCTGCCAAGGACGTGACCCAGCTGGCCAGCGAGGCTGCCCGGGAGGCTGCCCGGGAGGCGCGGCAGGGCCTGAGCTCCCTAGCCTCTGGCTTCTCCTCCTGGTGGTCCACCCTGGACGTCCCCACCGAGGATCAGGGCAGCGGTGGCAACAGTGCAGACGAGGTCAGCCCTGGGGTGTGATCCAGGGGAATCGCTGAATGCATTGGTATGTGGACTGCGAGAGGGTGTTTCATGTTACCATACGGACCAAGAACGCAATGAACCTCCTGAGATTGCGCCATTTGGGGGCCCCCTCATTCCCCAGGATCCACTGGCCTCTTTCTCAAAGCCCGTCACACACATCCCTGCAACCCTTGGTCCCCCTGCAGCGCGATGCGGTGGCCCTGGCGGTCTCCCTGGGCCTGGAGCCAGGCGAGGCGGTGCTGGAGTCCTTCCCCTGCCACCTGCTGCAGACCTACCGCTCCGTCAATGGTCTGACCCCCGACCGCGAAGTCCCCTTCCCCGGTACCCTTCACCTCACCAGCCTAAACGCGGTCTTCGTCGCCGGGCAGGGGGCAGGGCTGCCGGACCCGGTCCGCCTCCCCCTCACCGCCGTGCGCGCCTCCCACGTCACCGGGGCCGCGGTGGCGAGGCCCCCGCGCGGCTCAGCATCTGCCGGGCAGCGGCTGGTGCTCTCCGCCACCATCGCAGAGGGGGACATCGCCTTCGCAGGGTTCCGGGAGGGCGGCCCCGAGTCGGCGCTGGCCCTGCTGGAGCACCTGTCCTCCAGCGACTGACGGCGGGCGACTCAGGTCTGGTGATGGCACCTGGACCGCCCGCTCTGCAGGCGTGCATGCCCGGTGGTCACCAAGCCCACCGTGTCAACATCCCTGAGGCCCCCGGCTCGTGCGGGCAGCCCGCCACCCTCCGCCTGCGTCGACCATGCTGCCGCCGGGGGCAGCCTGTACAACACACCACTTCTCCCCCGTGCTCCCCCGAGAATGCTTCCCGGCCGCCACGTTGCGCACTGCACTTGCTGCCCGGTCTGTTGTCCCCCTTTCTACCAGCCTGGTTGGCCTCGACATGAGGCTGCCAAGTCTCTTGACAAACCTACCCATCTGTGGATGGTCTGGAACGCCGCAGTTTCCATCTCCCGAGACACCCCTGACCTGTGCCATTGCCACCCCTCCTGCCGGCACCCATCAAGAGGCCCGTACTAAGAGTCTGTACTGTAGCAATCACGTCTGGAACCCAGCCGTGTCAAGGAGCGTCATCATGGCGTGCATCCGGCGAACGTTTGCGCCACTTCATGCAGGCTTGCGTGTCGAGCGGGGTGTCATTGCAGGGGTCATGGGCGTCGCCACGCACGTCAGGGGCATGCTCCATTCGCCCCGGGGATCAGAGCATCGAGAATGCAAGAGGGCCGTCCCGGGACCCCCTCACCCCCGCACCAGCTCCCTCAGGCGCTCCAGCAGCGCCTGCCAGGCGGTGCCCGGCGCTGCCTCGCCCTCCAGCAGGGCCATGACGACGGCCGACTTCCTGGCGGCCTCCGCCAGCTGCCCCCCCGGCGCGTCCAGCAGCGTGAGCAGGGCGCGGCACAGCGCCTCGCCCAGGTCCTCGTCGGCGCCCAGCACGCGCAGGCCGCCGAGGGAGAGGCGCAGCGCCGCCGGCCCCGCGGCACGCGCGCGCG